CTGTAGTCTATTCAAACATTGCCTCCCCGGATGCAGCGCCGTGCCATGTCTAATATCCTGACCCGGCGATGCTATTGTACACATATACACGTCATAACTTACACCCTTACAAATGCCTCTTCTCGCTAATCTCCTCAAAGGCCTGGATCTGGTCGCCCTCCTGCAACTCATCCCAGCCTTCGAACGACATACCGCACTCTGCGCCCTTCCGCATTTCGGACACGTCCTTCTTGCCGTGCTTGAGGGAGTCGAGCGTTCCTATTTCACATATGTTAGCAAGCCGTCACACGAGCACACATCAGCAGAAGCAGGTGCATACCTTCAAACACATTAACCCCCTTCCGTATAACACGGTACTTGGCATTCCTCGTGACCTGTCCGTTGCGTATTCTGCAGCCGGCAATATTCTTGAACTTCCTCCCCTTCAAGTTGATAGGGAACAGCTGCAGCACCTCCGCCTCGCCAAGCACCCTCGTCGAGACGGTCGGCTTGAGCTTCTCGGACAGCTTATCCTTGATCGCGTCCACAAGATGATAAATGACGTTGTAGTCCATGATCGCGACGCCGGCCTCGTCCGCCATGCGTTTGATGTGGTCCGGCACGGGGCTGTTGAAGTTGATGATGGCGCTGCCGGTGAGCGTGGCGTACTCGACGTCTGACTCGGATATGCTGCCCACCGCCGAGGTCAAGATGCGCGGGCGGACTTCGTTGTTGCCTACTTCCATTATGGAAGCGCAGACTGCTTCCACTGAGCCGTGGACGTCGCCTCTGACGAGGAAGTTGACGATTGTTGTTCCTGGGGCTTCGTCCTTGGCTTCAGCATCCTCATCCTCTGCGGCTTCCTCGGCGGCAGCCTTCTCTTTCTCCTTTTCTTTCCTGTCCTGCTCTGCCATCTGAGCGACAGCCTCGCCCCTCTCGCTAAGTTCGATGCGGTATTCGACTGCGCCGCGCGCCCTGTCCTCACCAGGAGCTTGTAGTACCTGGTCGCCAGCATCAGGCAGGTCCCTCCACCCCAATATCTCAACCGGCGTGCCAGGCGGCGCCTCCTCGATCTCAACGCCCGCTTCGTTGCGCAGCACCCGGATCTTGGCAAACACCTTGCCCGCAACGACGTAATCGCCCTTCCTCAGCGTGCCCCTCTTGACCAGAACAGTCGCAGCACGTCCTATATGCTTGACACTGGACTCAAGGACCCAGCCCTCCGCCATGCCATCCCGCTCGGCGCGGAAATCCAGCACCTCGGACAGAGAAAGAATGGTCTCCTCCAGGTCGCCCATGCCTTGCCCTGTCTTGCCGCTGACGCAGACGACCTGGACGTCGCCACCATAATCCTCGATCTCGACGCCATTGTTCGCCAGGTCAGACTTGACGAGGTCAATCCTAGCACTCTCCTTGTCGACCTTGTTGATGGCCACGATAATCGGCACGTTCGCAGCACGAGCATGCTTCAACGCCTCGATCGTCTGTGGTTTCACACTGTCGTCTGCCGCCACGACCAAGATGACGATATCTGTCACGTTAGCACCTCTCTGCCGCATGGTCAGAAAGGCAGCGTGGCCCGGCGTGTCGAGGAAGGTAATCTGCTTCCCACCAGATAGCTTGACGGAAAACGCGCCAATGTGCTGCGTGATACCACCATGCTCGCTAGCTGCCACCGAGCTCTTGCGGAGGTAATCCAGCAGCGTAGTCTTGCCGTGGTCAACATGTCCCATAATCGTCACCACCGGCGGCCGGGGGGGTAGCGAGCTAGGGTCCTCCGGCGGTGGCGCAGGCTTGAGGTCAACACTCTCACCACTATCGACCGTCGGCTCGAATCCGTACTCCTGCGCCACCAGCGCCGCCGTCTCGCCCGTCATTATACTCTCCGCGAACACGTCCTCGAACCCCAGCTCCTCCAGCTGTTCGAGGAAGACCTGCTGTTTCACGCCCAGTGCCACGGCGAGGTTGGCGATGCTGATGTACTCCGGCAGGAAGATCGGTACAGGCCCGGCGTTAGCGGCCGCCAGCTCCTTCTCGCGCTTGCGCCGCTCCTTCTGTTCCTTCCGCCGACGCCGTTGTTCTTGGTAGGACTCGGTGTCGAAGTCGTCTTCTTGCGGAGCGCCGGATTTGTACCGCCGGGGTTTGGATTTTGAGGGGGCGACGGGTTCGTCCCAGCGCCTGCTGGCTCTGGCTGGAACATTGTCGAAGGAGGACGAGGGTGGTGGAGGAGGGGGTGCCACCTGGGCTCGGCGGAGGTTCGGGTTTATTGGCTCTTCGACCGGTTCGCTGTTTGGTTTATTTCTCTGGAGACTGCCCAGGAAGCCTGGACGTTGCTCTGGTTGGGGTTGCCGTTGAGGTCGGTCGTCTTTGGACAGCATCGTTTCGAAGCGCGACCACGCTGCGTCCGGGGTCTTGGATTCGGGCTCTCTCGCCGCGCTTCGCCAGTCGAGACGCCTGAAGTTGTTGTTATTCCTCTCTGGCGCTCCCGGTCGGTCGCGACGGCGCATGTGGCCCCATTCATTGTTGTCGCTGGCGCCCATTTGGTCTGCGCGAGGCGCCCGAGCCCGCCGTGCATAAGCTTCAGCGGCATTGCCGGGTATTGGATGATCGGGCGCCTGGACTTTCCGTATAAAGCCACCTTCCCTAAAGCTCTTCTCTTTCGGCTCGAACGCGTGTTTCGGAGGCCCGGCCTCTTCTCGTTTCCGCTCCTGTGCTTCAGCTTCAGCCTTCGCCCAGAAAGCTTCGGCTGCCTCCTTGGCTGCGCGCTCCTTTGCCTCCGCGGCCGCTCGTGCCGCCCGCTCTTTGGCCTCAGCGGCCTCTCTTATTTCTCTCTGGCGTGCTTCTTCTGCCTCTCGTATCTTTCGCTCCCGTTCTCTCGCTTCTCGTTCGTGTGGTAGGAGGCCATCGTCGGCAACGTTCGTCTTACGGATTAAGGGAGGCGCAACGCCGCCTCCGGCTTTTATGCCTCCCCAACCTCCACCGCCAAATGACGGTCCCGGTGTGTTCGGTTTCTGTGTGGAATTATTCGGACCGGAGCCGTTGGTGAAGCGGCGGGCTTGACGCAGTCGGAATGCTCGATGCCAGGCAGCGCAGGCCGAGGACCGGCTCTGATTCTGTTACAAATCAGCAGAGTACGTCGAAGAATGAATAGGAAATACTGACCTGCCATAATCCACCTCTTAACATGTTCGCTTGGGTGGTACACAGCTTCCATGTTAAAGTTTGGAAGCTGTCGCCAAAATTTCCGGGACCTCGCGATCGCCGCCGGACTCTTATCGCCCGATAACCGATAAAGCTTTGCTAGTGGTTTATTGCATATCGCTTATCGGGACTGTGCATCAACTGTGACCTCATCCAAACTTTTGCGCTGCACTGCCGGCCAAACAAACAAATCCGGCGCAACCCAGATTACACAGACGAAGCGAATCAACATGGGCTCGGACTACTCAGAAGACGACCACAGGTCGAAACGACAGAAACATGCCGACAGGGACGAAGACGGAGAGGTCTCCTCGTCGCGCAAGAGGAGACCCAGAGAGGACGACGACGAGGACAGGCCAAGACGGAGGCACAGGTCACGATCCACGTCAAGGAGGAGAGAGAAGCGCGACAGGTCCAGGTCACCAGATTCTACACGGCGACGGTCACGCGACCGGAGACGCGACCGCGACGTTGACGAGACGCGACACAAGCACAGACACAGGAGGAGTAGGAGCCGAGACCGCGATAGCAAAGAGAAGGAGGGCTCTCGCAGACACAGGTCTCGCTCAGCCGACGGGTCCTCCAAAGACAAAGATCACTCTCGGCGTCACCGATCGTCCCGCTCACCAACCGACTCCTCCCGGCGGCATCGCCATCGTCACCGCTCTCCCTCCCCCAAGGCGATAGACTACCCCTCCTCCCGCCTCGCCACCGACTCCGCCCGCGAGCGGCGCCACCGCGACTCCCCGACCGCCAAGGCCGCCGTCATCAAGCGCTCCGGGCCCCTCCCCAGCCAAGACGCCGACTTCGCCGTCTCCACGGGTCTTGAGCCCGAACCCGAGGTCGAGAAGCCGAACTTCAAGCCCACCGGCGCCCTCGCGGCGGCGGCCAACGCCGTCACCACCTCCAACGGCGAGACCGTCACGCTGAAGTACCACGAGCCCCCGGAGGCGCGCAAACCCTCGCCCAGGGACAAGTGGAAGATGTTCGTCTTCAAGGGGGCGGACGTGGTGGACACCATCGAGCTGAGTCTGAGGAGCTGTTGGCTTGTGGGGCGGGACAGGGCGGTGGTGGATTTACCGGCTGAGCACCCGAGTATCAGCAAGCAGCACGCCGTTGTGCAGTTCCGGTATACGGAGAAGAGGAACGAGTTCGGGGATAAGTTGGGGAAGGTGAAGCCTTACTTGATTGATCTGGAGAGCGCGAATGGGACGGTGTTGAATGGGGATAAGGTCCCCGGGGCGAGGTACTTGGAGGTGAGGAATAAGGATGTCATCAAGTTTGGGCTGAGCGAGAGGGAGTATGTTGTTATGCTTGACCGGGAGTAGGCGGGGAGCTTGGGAGTGGGATGGGGTTGGGGGGAGAAGTGGTGTGAGGCCGGATACTTGATGGTCGGAAGGCGGGAGTCAAGGGCGCATGAGCAAGGGGCTCGAAGCGATGCATGATTATGGACAGGCGAAGGGGCGAGTCAGCTGAGAAAACAGACCTGTCGAGGCGTTCGCATCTGCGAGAAACCTGATCCGGGGGCTGTTATGACGATGGAAGCATTAGGGCAAGAATAGCAAAGATACAGCGGAGTTTAGCCACCACCTAAATTCGCAGGGGCGAGTCTGTTGAGGCGCATGCCAAAGTGAACTGTGCGGTAGCTGCTTCGCGGTCGTTCCGCCCACAGGAAAAATGCACAATGATACGGCGAGCCTGATGCCTCCCCACCAGACAAACTAGACTCCAGCCAAGCAAAATGAAACAACAACACATCAGGTAACGTTATACGTTATCTATCTTTACCTTAGATAGAGAAGCAAAAAGCGCAAAAAGTTGGGCCGAACCGGGGTTCGAACCCGGGACCTCTTCCATAATAGTCATAATTGCTTACGACCGGGAGCCATAATTTCCCGAACGAAGCATCATACCACTTGACGATCCAGCCTCTTTTCGTTGTTGAGGTCCGATGGCTTTAATCTGCCTTATGGACCGGAGAGACATCAGACTTGGGGAAGGAGCGTTGGCTGGTTATACGGTTGCTCGGTGAATGAGTCACCTCATGTTTGCTTTCCCATCCCCTCAAAGGCAGGAACGAGACAGGCTGGTTAAGGGAACAGGCAGTCGGCTGGAATACCTTCTGTTCGATTCTCGTCTTGCTTCGTGTCTGCTTTTCGGCTTCGAGATCTTGTGCAGGACTAGTTTTGAGGGACAAACTATCATGTATCCATTACTCTATCCATTCTCGCAGCTCTCGGTGCTATGTATAATTTTCCAAACCATGATGCAAGTGCATGCTGAAACCAAAACCAATACAGTCTAGGCAAAAAGAGTGAACATCCCCTCGGCAGTATTGTAGGTCCGCCAGTCATACTCAAATTCCAGTTTCCAGTTGCCACGTCTAGTCTTCCATCCTGATCCCAAGTCCCAACCCCTCCTCTTCCTCCTCGCTCTCTCTCCTATCCCCCATCCCAGCGCCGGCACCATCAATCCTCACATTCCCACTCCCCCTCCGCTCCCCAAACTCAACTACCCTCCCATCAGCAAGTCTAAACCCACCACTTCCACTCCCGCTCCCACTCCCACTCCCATGTCTAGCCATAGCCTCACCCCCAAGACTCGACCCTCCCCGTGCCCCACTCTCACTCTCAACCCTCCCACTTCCCCTGCCCCTCGTCCCAACTTGCTGCCCCCTCCTTCCCCTCGGCGCAGGGCTCTGACTCTGACTCCTCCCCCCTCCTCCTCTGTTCCTATGCTGAACAGGCGTCCACTGCGACGAAGCCAGGGCACTCTCGTCATCCGTGTGGTTGTCGTGATGCCGCTCCTCCCAGCAGGAGTAACTCGTCTCCACTTCCCCAAAGGCATCGCCCAGCCTCGGGCTGGGCTCGGTCTCCGTGTGCGAGGGGCGGCGCTGGCGCCACCCCGGTATCAGGAATGGGAGCAGGCGGTTGCGAATGCTACCGCCGGAGCTGCTGTCACGACGACCGCGGGAGACAGAGGCCGTGGGAGGAGAGGAAGAGGACGGGGGTTGGGCAGACTCCGGGGCCGATGCCGCGCTACCACCGCTAGGGTTGCGGGACATGGGCTCGGAGGTGTATCCGCCTGGACTGGTGAGTTGGATTTGGGCTAGGCGGGAGGGTTGGAGGGTGTGCGTGGTGGAGGGCGAGGGATGTTGGATGGAGGGGTAGGAGAAGGACATGGGATCGGTAGTGTCGAGGTTTGCTAAGCTGGAAGAGTCGAGACGGGAGAGTGTCGGGTGGTAGGCGTGCGTTTCCCATTGGCGGATCGTGGGAGGGGCACCGCGCCGCAGGGAGGTGGTGGTATTGATTTCTATCTCGAGAGGCGGCGGTGGTGCAGGTGGTGGGAAGGGGGATGAGCGATTGGCTGGGCTGGAGCCAGCGCTGCGAGTGCCACTTCCGGCGAAGAGGGGTGCCGGGGAGGAGGTGGAGTTTGCTTGGGTGTTTGGCTGGTCTGGGCTTGAGTCGGTAGGTTGAATGTTCTCTTTCAGCTTTTTGAGGGTGGCTGCTGTCCAGGACGAGGGGGCGGCGGCTATTTTGGCTAGGCTATTCGAGAATTCGACGGGAGACATTGAGTATTCGTCTTCTGGCGTCTTGGTGGCCAATGCCTCGGCAGGAACGTTGTTGCCGATAAGGAAGCGTGGACGCGGCAGGCTGCCTGAGCTGAAGCTCCTCTCGTGTGGAAGGGACTTGTCTTCGGATGACGGGAGAGACTTCCTGATCCTATGGAGGTGCAGTTCCGCCTCGCTCTCGGCTGTGACGCGGCTCGTGCTTTGACTCCTGGGCGCTTTGGACGTGATGGAGCCTCTCGCTATCTCACGGCTAATGCTAACTCGGGGGTCGCTGATGCTAGTATCCCGCCAGGAACCTCCACGGTCGTGATAACGGTTGTGCTCGAGTTTCCTGACAGACCTGTGGTTGAGGTTGGGGACTATGAAGTCCCAGTCCGACCCATGCCGGTCATTCCTGATCTGGCTGTTCTCACCGGTCTTGGACGGGCCATCGGCGATAGTGCCAATGTTCGGAGATCCAGTGACCGTCTTAGAGTCGTCGTTGAGGTCTGACGGGTCACGAGGAACCGGTATAGTCTGGTGTTGTGGATACGGAACATGGAAATGGTAAGGATTATGCGCAAACTCCGGTCCTGGAGTCGTCGGCGATTGGAACAGTTCCGGGCTCTCGTCGCCATCTCTTAGCACAGACGTGGTGCTCGTGCTGCTATGGCTTGGCGGAGTAATCGAATCCGTCTCGGACGAGCTGTTGGTTCGCTCAAAGACGGATGTCGCCGGTATCTCCTGTGAGCCTTCGATGATGCTCGTTTGCAGGGTCTGGGACAGGCGCTCAATCTGGCTCTGTGTCCTGTCCAGTCGTTGCTCGATGTTGTCCTTGACTACGCCCAGCGGCTCTGGGGACTTCTTCTCGAACCTCTTGACGTGCTCCAACAACCTGCGCCCATGGATGGCGAACCGTCGGTAGTCATCTGGTAGTCCGACACTCGAGTGCTCCTTGATCTTCTTGTCTGCTTCGTCGAATGACCGGCACCAGACAGCTGCAGCCCGCTCCAACCAAAACGGCGCCTGCTTCTCCTCGCTCAGCGTGTCGATGAAGAACTGCTGAACGACACTGTGAATGCGGAGTATGTCGAGAGACTCTCCTGCCCGGTCGAAGGCTTGCTTAGAACTCCGTGAGCTGACTGGCGAGATATCCTGGATTTCGGTCCGCTCGAGAAGTGCGAATGCGATTAGCACCTTGAGGGTGTTGGTCAGGTTGGCTTTTCGTCGAGATGCGTCAGGGGTTTTAAGTGGCGTGCGGTTATCTAATGCGGGCATTCCTGAAACACTTGTCAGTATCTTGCTCAGGAATGGAATGCCGAAGCGCATTTGGCAGCGGAAAGGACGAGGAATACCTAGAGTGAGCATCTCCACCGGGACATGCTGGTCGAAAAACACAACAATCGAAATGAGGTTCAATGCAGAAGTGGCTCCCCTGTGTTGCAGCTGATCGCGGACGGACTTGTAAGCCGGCAAAGTCCCTGCTTGCGCCCGGTTCTTGTATGACCTCAGATACTTCGACAATGGCTCCCTCGTAGCCTTGAGTTGCTGAGCCGCAACGTGGATCATGAGAGGCAATCGCCCCATCAGCTGTACCAACTCCAAGGCTCGGGCCCGGTCGTCCTGAGTCCAAGGCTTCTTCCTGCCCATTTCGAGAAGAAACAGGTCCGTCGCGTCCTGGACCGCGATCAGGGGCAGCTCCATCACCTCCGGGCTGTCGAAGCGGTAGTCCTCAATGACAGCCCGCTCCGTCGACGTGAAGATCAGACTCGTGTTCTTCGCGTCCGGGATGAACTCCTGGAGTCCCGGGTCGTCGAAATGCACGCCGTCGAGCACTAGCAGCCAGTTGTCGAGGCTGTTGAGCCACTTTCGCACGATGGCAACGATCTTCTTCGGGTCCCGCAATTCCTGGACGTCCTCCTGAGACACCAAGCCACGGAGTGCCTCGTTCTTCGCTATCCGCCAATACCAGTACTCGATTTCCTGTTGTGACTTTGCCCGCACCCAGTAGACCCCTCCTGGGTAGTCGTCCTTGTGCTCAAATACGTATTGTCGTGCGAGGTGAGTCTTGCCGCCGCCCGGGAGACACTGTATTAGGACAGCTGAGGTGCCTTGTGCACGCTTCCCGCGGTCCATGAGCATCTTGTGCAGACGCTTCATTTCCTCATCCCTGCCGACGAAATACGAGTTTGGTCGAAATGGCTCTGGGTGGATGAACAGAGGCGACTCCCTAGTCTGCGGTACCGTGACGTCAATAATTTCCGATTGTGTCGAGTCGTGGGTGAGTGCCAGTGGTGGAACTTGTGGTAGTTGGGGAGTCAATGGACTCTCGACCTCAGGAACTATCATCTGCGTCTCGGTGTTGGCTGGCTGACCGCCGAGCTGCCGGAGACGTCGCTCATGGATCTCGAGCTGTTGCCGCACCTGTCGATCGTCCAACTCGACCAACCATCGCACTTGGATCACATTCGGCGCCTCCCTTACCCAGTCACGGATGGCGGTGGATACGGTTCGGTAGCCCGGTGCTGTGTTACTCTCGAACTTGCACATCCCAGAGTGTGTTGCTTCGATGCCGTAGTACGTGACGCCTGGTAGTTGTGGACTGGCCGATGCAGGGTTGACGACCATTGCCCTGAACTATATGTCAGCAAGGACATACATATTGACGAACGAGGGGATGGACTCACTTGGACCCCTTGAAGTCAGTCTTGTGGTTCTCATGAGCCATGTGTATCTGGAATCGCTGATATATGTCAAGGAAGTGGTTATTGATATTCTGCAGCGTCTCGTTATCCTTCCTCAGCGTCTTGATCAGAACTGGTTCAGTCTCAAACAGCTTCTTCGGTATCACAGCCTCCGACATGGACTGCAGCATGTGTCCCCAAGCGGCGAGACCAGACCCCGTGTGCGGTGTGCCGAGGAAGATGATACCATACGTAGACACATACACCGACCTGAGGTCATCGTGGTTCTCCGTCCGGACATCGTTCGAGTACAGCAGTGCGCGCTTTGTGAGGATGCCTCCCAGACTATGAACGACCCAGATTATTGGGTTCTTCAAGGTGCCTTCACTCTTGCGGTAGGCCGTCAGAGTAGCAACAAGAGTTTGAGCATGATGGTGAATGAAGTTGTTGCTCGCGCTCCGGTCATTGCGGCTGGAGTACACATCGGCGTTGTAGCCGTACACCAGGACGTTGGCGTGCTCAGTCTTCAGGCTCTCCGGCAGCAGGTCGCTGGGCCAGAAGACGCTGTTGGAGGCTGTCCATGTCCTTTGAGGATCACCATTCAGACCGTGGACGAGGATGATGTCTACCTTCGCGTCGGGATGGGTATACACGGCTGTGAACTCATAGCGTTGGATTTGCTTGTTGGTTGATCCC